TCTATCTTGTATATATAGATGAGTCTTGTACTTGTAGAAACACACAGAAAACAGACAAAATGGAAACAAGGTCAATGTTCATAGAATAACTTCTTCCTTTTAGTTTTCTACATGGTATCAGAGTGGGTAAGAGTGAGGTAGTGGGATTTGCTCGGAACAGGAAGACAACGCCGAAGCTCGAGTCGCAACGTCACCGGAACAACCACGCGCTGCCGTCACAACCTGCTCACCGACTCACGCGCCGACGCGTGGAGGATTTATCAGCGACCATCTTTGATGGAGGCTACACTGGTGGGCTCGCCGTGGAAAGTAGAGTCCGTCTGAGTGGAGAGAAAGATGCTTCGAGCAATTCCATATCCTTTGCGAGAGAAAAGACGAACCTACTGTGCGAGAGAGAAGACAAACCTGCGGTAATATTGTTTGTTTTTGCCTTCTGGAGTATTGTTTGCCTTTTTTGCTTTCTGGAATATTAAATACTGGAAGTTTAGAATTGTGGTGAGCGTGAACTTGGAATATTGTTGATTTTTTTTGGGCACTTACATATTATGGCTGAAAACAAAAATATTACCGTTGTGTCTACTCCGTCTAAATTAATTGATGTAATCCTGGTTGCTGATGGGTCTAATTTTGCTATGAAAATTTTTGGTCAAAATTAATTTAGATGGAATGGGTAAGGTGACCATTTAGATGAAGATTGCCCTCCAGATAATAAGGAGTGGGAGGCAGATGATAAAGCTTTATTATCCCGGGTAATTAATTGTATTGATAGGAAAGTGATCTTATCAATGCAACATGTACCACGGTTAAAGCAGTGTGGGATCTAGTGTCTGAATGGTTTAGTGGGTCAAGTAATTTGAGGAAACTGTATCAGTTGTCTCAGGATGTCTATCGTCCTAATCAAAAGAGTCGAGATCTACGAGACTACTATTATGATTTCAAAAGTTTAAGTGAAGCTTTGTGTAATGCGATGCCTATTACAACTGATGTGAAGACAATGAAAGCACAACGTGATCAATTAATTGCCTTTAGCTGAATTTCTGGGCTTAACAAAGAATATGAGGTTCTTAGGTCATAATTGCTAGGAAACAAGGAGTTAGGATCATTGGATCAAGTATTCTCCCAAATACAGAATGCATTAGTAAGTACTAATGAACCCCCCGAGAAGAATGTTTTTATATCACAAGGAAGCACTAACGAAAAAAGTACGTTTGTGTTGCAAGGGAGGTACACTAATGAAGGGTACAATAGTCGAGGTGGAGGTGGTCACCATCGAGGACGTGAAGGAAGGGGTCGTGGAGGACCAAGGGTATGTTTCAATTGTGGAGAACCAGGACATTTCAAGAATCAATGTCCTAAACCACCCAGACAGCAAAGATTTGTTAACACAACCTCTGGCCCTGAATGACATATGGTGGGTATGATAGATGAGGAGTTAGCAGCATTCAATCAGCTGAAGGTGTCTTCTTTTATGCAGTACAATCAACTGCCTTCTTCTGCAACCTTTGTCCAAACAGGTAATCATGTTGCATGTGTGTCTTCTTCATCTACACAGTAGGTCATTAACTCCGGAGCTAGTGAGCATATGACAGGTCTCCTCATATTCGCCATCAAACCCTAGGCTATGGTTACTCTGGCGGATGGGTCATCTGTTCCAATTTTAGGTAAAGGCAGTGGTGTTGCAACCTCATCATTACCTCTGTCATCTATATTATATCTTCCAAAGTTTCCCTTTAATTTGCTTTCTGTTAGACAAATCACACGGACTTTGAATTATTTTGTCTCTTTTTTCCCGGTTATTGTTTATTTCAGGATCTTTTGACGAAGAAAATTATTGGTAAGAGGAAGGAAGTCGGGGGACTATATGTTTTGGAACAGTCTGTATCTCCGTCCAAGGCCATGTTGCGTGATACCTCTCCTTTTCAACTACATTGTCGGTATGGTCATCCATCACTATCGATCTTAAAGAAGCTGTTTCCTAGTTGTTGGGTAGCGTTCTCTTGATTGTTTATGTTGATGATATATTAATCACAGGTAGTGATGCAGTGGGGATTGAAGCTCTTAACTATTTTCTCAAAGAAAAGTTTCAATCGAAAGATTTGGGAGTGTTGAAGTATTTTCAAGGGATTGAAATTGCTCGCTCTTGGAGAGGAATATTTCTTTCCCAAAGGAAATATATGCTAGATTTGCTTAATGATACTGGGTTGTTGGGATCAAAACCATGCGAGACCCCTATGGGTAACTGGTGAGGGGGAGACCTTTAACTCTCTAGAGAGATAGGAAGTTGGTGGGAAAGTTGAACTATCTCACCATTACGCGTCCGGACATTGCTTTTTCAATTAGTGTGGTAAGTCAGTTCATGCAAGCACCTACGCGAGCTCATTGGGAGGCAGCAGTTTGAATTGTAAAGTATCTCAAGAATGCGCCCGGTAAAGGCATTCTATAAGTTGATCGTGGACATATGAGAGTTGAGGCTTTTTAATATGCTGATTGGGTAGGTTCGTTGAGTGACAAGAGGTCTACAACAGGATATTGTGTGTCCGTAGGATGTAATTTGGTTTCTTGGAAAAGCAAGAAACAAACTGTTGTAGCTCGGTCCCGTGCGGAATCTGAGTATAGAGCAATGACTCATGTGATATAACTTGGGTGCACAATATGTTGAAGGGGGTTGGTGTGGAAGTGATAAAACCTATACATTTACGGTGTGATAATCAAGCAGCTATACACATTTCAAATAATCCAGTATTCCATGAGCGTACCAAGCATATTGAGGTAGATTGTCATTTTGTGTGTGAAAAGATTCAACAAGGCTTAATTTCTATGGCTCATGTTCGTAGTGGCGATCAACTAGCTGATTTGTTCACCAAAGGGCTCAGTAGGGACATGGTTGAATATATTTGTAACAAGCTGAGCATGCTTAATATCTATACTCCAGCTTGAGGGGAAGTGTTAGAAATAAACAGACAAGTATGTGAATAGTCAAAATGTAAGTGAACAGACATGGATGTGAAGAGGCATATATAACCTTCCATGTTGTATATATAGATGCGTCTTTGTACTTGTAGATACACACAGAAAACGGACAAAATGGAACAAGGTCAGTGTTCGCAGAATAACATCTTCCTTTTAGTTTTCTACAACTATTCATTTCTAACACTCCCCCTCAAGCTGGAGCATAGATATTAATCATGTCCAACTTGTTACAAATATATTCGACCATGTCCATGCTGAGCCCTTTGGTGAACAAATCGGCTAATTAATCGCCACTACGAACATGAGCCATAGAAATTAAGCCTTGTTGAATCTTTTCATACACAAAATGACAATCTACCTCAATATGCTTGGTACATTCATGGAACACTGGATTATTTGAAATGTGTATAGCTACTTGATTATCACACCATAAACGTATGGGCTTTTCATCACTTCCACACCAACCTCCTTCAACATATTGTGTACCCAAGTTATCTCACATGTCACATGAGTCATTGCCCTATACCCAGATTCTGCACTGGACCGAGCACAGCCCACTACCTCACTCTCGCTGGCTCTGATACCATGTTGCAAGAAAGAAACGATTTCAAAGAATGTGTTTCTCCTTTTTCTGTGTGTTCTTCACTATTACAACATAGATCTATATATACACAACAGGGGGACAGTTCTACAGCCTCTTCACTTCCTATGTCTATCCATCTCCCATGCCTACTCATTTCTATTCTATGCCTGTCCATCTCCCATGACTATTCATTTTTAACAAACATAATGGGACCCAATCCATAAACAAATACAGTCAAAGATAAACAAATAAGCATATCAAAAAGTATATTTTGAACTACATAATATAAAAAGCTACTACCCTAAAGATATAAAAAGCTTTGTTTTTCCATATCCATAAACAAATTCCTACATCTACAACTAGCATATCAAAAAGGGTCATATATCTAGCCCATAAATAAGAAGACGATGAGGAAGAAGAAGAAGAAGAAAAAAAAACCTTCAACTTCAGCGCCAGTGGTGGACGCTGGTGGAGCGACGGCGGTGAATGACGATGGTGGTGCGACTACTGCAACGATGAGGAGAGATGAAGATTAGGGGGCAAATTATGCTGTGGAACCGTGTCCACCTTGCAAAGTGGACACGGTTCCAAAACTGTTCATAATTATGAATATATAATTCAAAAATTATAAACATATAGTTCTATAATTATGAACATAAAGTTGTGAACATAATTATAAACATATAGTTCTGTAATTATGAATAGAGAGATTCAATAATTGTGAATATGAGGTTAAAAAATTATGAATATATAGCTTTATAATTATGAACATATAATTCAATAATTATGAACATAAAATCGTGTCCGCCTTGCAAGGTGGACACGATTCCACAGCATAACGACTGAGATTAGAGTGAGAACTGCGATTCTAATTCTGGTGCGATTAGGGCTGAATAAGTATTAAATCCTTTTTAAATTTTTTTAATTTAATATTTTTATTTATGCTTATGTGTCAAGCCAAGTACCCACTTCAAAGCTTATATGGCGAGCCACGAGGGCATTTACCGAAGAGTTAACCGGCTAATGGGGTTGGATGACTTAAATTCGTGAGTTGATGTGTTCAATTGCACTTTTTAAAAATTCACAGGCCTAATTGACTTTTTGTGAAAAGTTTAAGGGCTTATTTGACCCTTTTCCCATTTGGTTATTTTATACAACATTTTTTATAATTTCCAAATTGAATTTTTTGTGTTCAATAGTACTTTTAATGTAATTTCTAAATATATAAAATTTATGCACTAACATTAAATTAAATAGTACAACAAAAAAATGAAAATAACTTTAGTTAAACCTCATCTATTGAACCATAGATATAGAATGGAGGGAGGAACTAATATTTATTAGTTACATGAACATTATGAAACATTTATTTGACTATTTTTGAATCAATGTTTCATTCATACCATTTAGGAAATAAAAAATGGATCTAAATCTAATCCAAAATGCATAGTGAAACTATATTGAATTCCTGCACTTCACACAAGAGCTACTTTGTTCAGATCTTTTCTTATTTAATTTTTTCATATTAGGGATTATAAATGAATATCAAATTTGTATTAGGTAAGTCATATTTGTCCATTCTTTTCTCGTGTTTCCAAACTACTATATTGAAGATGCAGATTCTACAGTGTAAGAGAACTTACAATGATTTGTGTTTGTTAGAAATTCTGAATTGTTTTTTTTCTCAATTGAAAAATACAAGCCCTAATTTATACAAAGAAGAGGATTGATTATAGGGAAGAGAATCCTATAATCAAGGAAAGTAAATAAAAAGATCACTAAACTAGGGAAAGAATAAAATCATATCACTAATTACAGATCCTAAGAATATATGCATATCAATCTAATATTTTCACATATCAATTCTAATATTTCCACATATCAATTCTAATATTTCCACACTCCCCCTCAAGCTGAGTTGTATATATTATACAAGCCCAGCTTGGAATTGAATTCTTCAAAGCTCCTTCTAGGTAGAGCCTTCGTAAGGATGTCGGCAATCTGTTTCTTTGTAGGAATGTAGTTGAGTTCAATGATCCTCGAATTCACCTTCTCATAAATGAAGTGCCTGTCTATTTCAACGTGCTTTGTTCTATCGTGATGAACCGGGTTCTTAGCAATGCTGATGGCAGCTTGACTATCACGGTACATTTTGAAAGATGTAGGAGCTTCAATTTTCAACTCATTCAACAACCTTTTAATCCACATCCCCTCACATATACCTAATGCCAGAGCACGATATTCTGATTCTGCACTACTCCGAGAGACAACTGACTGTTTTTTGCTGCGCCAAGTGACTAGATTTCCCCATACATAGGTACAGTAACCACTAATCGATCGTCTATCAGTCAACTCTCCAGCCCAACTAGAATCCGTGTAGACTTCTAGGTCTCGGTTGTCATGTTTTCTGAAGTGCAAACCAAGACCTGGTGTCATTTTGAGATACCTTAGAATACGATAAACAGCTTCCAAATGCTCCTCATTAGGGTTATGCATATGTTGACTTACAACACTAACAGAGAAAGCAATATCAGGTCTGGTGTGGGAGAGATAAATTAGTTTTCCCACTAATCTTTGATAGCTCCCCCTCTCTACTGGAATTGGTTCCCCACTCCGATTTGTTTTTAAGTTAGGGTCCATTGGAGTGTCTGCTGGCTTACTTCCAAGCATTCCAGTTTTGTTTAGAAGATCTAGGATGTACTTTCGCTGAGATATAACAATCCCTTCCTTAGATCGAGCTACCTCCATCCCAAGAAAGTATTTGAGGAATCCTAGATCTTTGATCTCAAATTCTGATGCAAGAAACTTCTTGAGGTTTGAAATCTCACCTAAATCATCTCCCGTTAGGATTATGTCATCCACATAGACAATGAGAATTGCTAGCTTTCCTGTTGAAAAGATTTTAACAAACAGGGTATGATCAGCTTGACACTGAGTGTATCCAAATTTTACAATTGACTTTGCAAACCTATCAAACCATGCCCGAGGTGATTGTTTCAAGCCATAGAGAGATTTTTGTAGTTTGCATACCAGTCGTCCATTGGAGTTCTTTTTCAAACCTGGTGGAATTTCCATATAAACTTCTTCTTCCAATTCTCCATTTAAGAATGCATTTTTTACATCCAGCTGATATAAAGGCCAATCACAATTCACAGCAAGTGATAACAGAACTCTTATTGTATTGAGTTTGGCAACAGGAGCAAAGGTCTCTTGATAGTCAACACCATATGATTGAGTGAACCCCTTGGCAACCAACCGAGCCTTGAATCCGTTGATACTCCCATCTGAATTATACTTGACAGTGAAAATCCACTTACATCCAACTGCATGTTTTCCTTGAGGTAACTCAACAAGACGCCATGTACCATTCTTCTCAAGAGCATTTATTTCCTCATTGACAGCAACCTTCCATTTGGGATCTCTTAGTGCCTCGTAGATGTTTGTGGGAATCTGGACAAGATCAAGAGAGGCAACAAAGGCTCGATACATAGGAGTTAATTTCCCATAAGCAACATACCTTTCTATTGGGTGACTAGTGCATGTTCTAACACCCTTTCGTTGAGCAATAGGCAAATCAAGATCATCAATAGCAGTAGATACCAACTCATGGGTCATAGAGTCCTTACCTTCATGATTTTCAAGGTCACGTAAGCTCGAATCTGTGTTTGAACAGTCCTGGCTTTGCATGTTAGCCTCTATATTTTGAAGTTTTCTCCTTCTATAAACACGGAGTTCTGGTGCTTGAGGAGGTGAATTTGGTAGAGTGTTTTCTGAGGATGGATGGTTGTTTATTAGAGGCGAAGATGGGTTGATTGTAGGAAGAGAGGATGACGGTTGATTGACCATGTTTTCTGGAGTCACATCTGATGAAAGAGGTAATAGAGAACTGGATGATGTAGGTGATAAATCAGGTTGAGTTGGAGTAGGTTGATGCTAGTATGGTAGGACATTAGGTGAAGGAAAGGTAGCCTGATTATCTTGAAGTGTTTCCCAAAGTTGATATTTGCTCAAATGCTCCCCCTGAATACCAGATTTGGGAAAGAATGATTGGTGTTCAAAAAAGGTGACATCCAAAGTATAATAAACTCTTTTTGTGATTGGAGAGTAACATTTGTACCCCTTTTGAGTATTAGAATACCCAATGAACATGCATTTGTGTGATTTGGGGTCAAGTTTTGTTCTTTTGTGATCATAGATATGGACAAAAGCAGTACAACCAAAAATTTTGAGTGGCAATTCCGAGGAAAAAACTGAGAGGTGAGGGAATGCTTGTAGTAACAAGGAGCATGGTGTCTTGAACTTTAAGACACTACTAGGCATACGGTTTATGAGGTAAGTGGCAGTAAGTACAGCTTCCCCCCAAAAGTGTTTAGGCACATGATTTGAAAACATGATGGACCGAGAGACTTCAAGGAGGTGCCTATTTTTTCTCTCAGCCACTCCATTTTGCTGAGGGGTGTTGACACAGGAACTAATATGGACAATTCCCTGATCTAACAAGTATGGACCAAGAATTGAGTTGTAGTATTCTGTCCCATTATCAGTTTTCAAAACTTTAACTTTTTGTTTGAACTGATTTTGAATCATAGAATGAAAAGCTTTAAAAATTGATGCAGTTTCTGATTTTTCTTTCATGAGGAAAGTCCATGTGGTCCTAGTGTGTTCATCAATGAAGGATACAAACCATCTAGAACCATTAACATTTTTCACCCTTGAAGGCCCCCAAATGTCACTATGTATCAACGAAAAAGGTTGAGAAGGTTTGTAAGGATTGCTTGAATAAATACTTCGAGTATGTTTTGCAAGTTGACACACTTCGCAATGAAAAAACTTGGGTTTTTTATTGATAAATAAACCAGGAAATAGTTTTTCAAGATAAACAAAATTTGGATGTCCAAGGCGAAAATGCCACAACATGACTAGACTCTCATTGGAGACAGAAACAGAATTGAAACCATAATTTGACTTGGGGAAATGTTTATTTTCAGGAGTGTTTTTTAGAATATAGAGACCATCGCAAATTTCAGCACTGCCAATCACCTTCTCCGAGCCCACAACCTGAAATTCACAAAGCTTAGGATAGAATTTAGTTACACAATTCATGTCTCTAGTGAGTTTATTGATGGAAAGAAGGTTGCAACTTAATTTAGGAACAAAGAGAACAGATGAAAGAAAAAGTTCATCAGTTAATTTGACGGATCCTGTTCCTATCACGTTAGAGAGGGATCCATCAGCAATTCTGATCGTGGTGGGATTGGTACAAGGTTTGAATGTATGAAAAACCTTTAAATCACCTGACATATGGTCGGATGCCCCGGAATCCACAATCCAAGGACTTGTGTTATTGGAATTTGTAGCAAATGCGTGAGAAGTGGTACCTTGATGACTCATCATACTAACATGTGCTTCAGCGGAAGGTGGGATTGACTGTTGTGCAACAGATATCTGCCCAAAAAGCTTTTGTAGCGCCTCAAGCTGAATTTTTGAGAAAGGACTGACTTCATTTGGTGATGTTTCAGAGGTTGCAGCCACATTAGCACGGGATTGATCAGTATGGGGTTTGGGTTTCCAATCAGCAGGCAGGTAGTTGTGGCCGTTGAGCTTATGAGAGGTGATTGGGAGAGGAGAACTATCAAGGACTTGAGGAAGGTTAGGATGATTTGTGACACTCGAGTGAGAAGGATGTGATGACCCATCTAAAGGTGAGGAATCAACTGGAAGGGTTTCAATAGGTTTAGACATAGTTGCTGGAGAGATTTGGTGAGGGAGGATAGAGAAGAGCTAGGGGTTTAGAGTCAGGCTCTGATACCATGTTAGAAATTCTGAATTGTTTTTTTCTCAATTGAAAAATACAAGCCCTAATTTATACAAAGAAGAGGATTGATTATAGGGAAGAGAATCCTATAATCAAGGAAAGTAAATAAAAAGATCACTTAACTAGGGAAAGAATAAAATCATATCACTAATTACAGATCCTAAGAATATATGCATATCAATCTAATATTTTCACATATCAATTCTAATATTTCCACATATCAATTCTAATATTTCCACAGTGTTAACATACAACCATGTTCACCGGCCTCTGGAAAACCACCTCAGCTATGAACTTCAGCAGCAGGCGTTGATGCCCAGAGTTTCGGTTGAAAAGATATGTGTTCACCTGTCAATGGCGTGTTCTCACCCCGCGCCTTTTTCTTTCCAGATGAGCTTAGAAAATCGTCAACTGGAGTGACAAAGTGGAGGCAAATTCTCAGGTAAATATACAAGTAAATCATATAGCCACCACGGAACTTAACAAAAGTTGAGAAGTTTTATCCAATTAGAACAAACATTCATACCTTGCCACTCCCACACCAACTTAGGTTCACCCTTCACCACCTTAGGGTACAGCTCTAAACGTGAATCTTCACGAACCAACTCCTCAACCTGTAGAAGTAATGTCTTATTTTGTTATTGGCTTGTAAAGAATGCAGTATGCTTACAGCTTAACAGGTAGGGAGAAAGAGAAAAGAAGGGCGTTTGTATCAAACACCAGCGCCCTGAATTACTACAGGATAGCCTACGAGCCTCTTCATATTAGGTGTAAGCAAATTTACTGAACCAGACACAAATGTATGAACAAATACTTTTTTATTTTTGCGATGCAGTTAACAACATTGTACTTTAATTTTTTTACAGATGAAAAGAATAGCAACAGATTTTCAACCCAGCCAAGCTTCACTTAGAATTATACATATAAATGTTTGCACCAAGGTATGACCATGGTGCACAGATATAACCTTCAAATAAAGGAATGCAAACCGTGAAGGGTACTGGTTTTTATGAGTTGTGCTAGCATAGGCTGAAAAGAGTTTAGCCTGGTCTCCCCAAAGCAGGCAAATTATTGTGTGGACCATAACAAAAAGTACATTTTTAATATACTAAGGCTCTGTTTGGTAAAAAATTGGCCTATAGGCAAATTTTGGCTTATTTGACCACTATTAATTGTTTGATTTAGTTAAAATATCAACATAAGTGTTTGGTTAATTAGCTTTTTGCAACTCTAAAATGCTAAAATTCAAAAAACTACTCCAACCAACTTTTTCAATTAGCTTTTTTAGAAAAGAAATTATACCAAACCGCTATCAGCTAACAGCTAATTTACGAAACACTTTTCTACAACAGCTAATGTTATCAACTAGTTCTACCCTCTAATTAACACAATCAGCTAACAGCAAACAGCTATCAGCTAACAGCCATTTACCAAACAGGGCCTAAATGTACATTATTTTTGTACTGTATATACATTATACAATATAATGTACACTCAGTAGAAAAATAATGTACATCCCCTGAATACAGTGTACATTATTTTTGTACTGAATGTGCATTATTTTACCGTATACAAAATATGGTCCATACAATTTGTGTGGACCAATAATGATTGCCCCAAGCAGGGGAGCAGCTCAAACAGAGCAGCAGGCAAACCATGTCCTAAATTTCAATGTCATAAACCTGTGAGGCTTTGGTCTAAACAGAACAATATTAAATTTAACAAACACAACAACCCACCACAATACTATGAGCCTCAGAAACAAACATCTAATCAAAGTATACCACTACCAGTAAATACCTTTTACAGCATTCAAATGTGTGTGCATGTATTTATATATTCTACTTGCAGAGTTGCAGATACCCAGAGATTATGAAACAAAATTACAGTGATTTACTTTCCAAAACATATACCATGTAGTTATATGCTAGGACAAAGTATCCATTTTTTCATTGTATTTTAAAATACCTTTTTCCACAACAACAGGTCCTTTCTTTCCTTGGGTGAAAGAAGATAATCTCGCAACCACGAAGCAACCACCCATGGTTCACCCTCACTGTTTGAATCCCTTGCAATCAGTGCCTTCTCTTCAAGTACATCACAAACCTATTACAGCCATACAGGGACCAAGCTCATGCATGAGAAAAACAAATTTAGCATTTAAACCAAAATTTCATAGCTAAAACCATGCTAGCTAATGATTCTTAACTTAGGAAAACTAATAAATCATGCATCATAAACCTTATGTTCCTTTTATCAAGAACATATAACAGAGTGTGGGAGGAAAATAAAATTTTAAGCTCTAAACATCATAATTTTATTGAATATAGATGCTAGCATTGCCAAGTAATATAGTTAGTAGAAATAAACACTAGAAGAATCATAACAGATCCAGCAATGAAAGATTTAATTGTATAAAGGAAAACTCTACCTTATTATAAAGTTCTTCAGCTCGGACTGACAAGTAGTGTTTCCTTCTGACCTTCAAAAGTATTATGACACACCCAACAAGCTGTACATCTCAATAACATCAACAAAACTTGAACATGTTGATAACAGAAGCTTTCAAAAGCTGCTTTTATTAGTGAATACCAATGCAGAAGCAGAAAGTAACACTAGAGCATGCTCTACAATCCACTGTTGAACACGACAAGAAAGTGGTATGTAATTTTCAGCTAGCAGCTCTGGACACTTCAACTCCTTAATTCTGTAAAAAATAAAATAATAATAATAATAATTAAAAATATATATTTTTAAACAAACATATGCATACAAAAAATGAACTGTTCAGTAACTGGAACCTCCAGTTTTATGAAAAACTAAAAGACAAAATTTTCTGTTCAAAATGAATTATTTTCAGAACAAGAAAAATGGAAAACACTGCTTTCCAACTTAAAAAATGAATTTAAGACACTAGAAAGATGTTATCCAAATGTTCCAATTGCAAAAACATCCATGAGGTTCACTTATGATTATCATCACCTACAAACGCCAACCCACCTACCTACCCCATGAAAAGCAAACTACTAACTACCCTATTCCTATCGCCACTACTACCATTACCACCACCACCACTACTACCTACCCCTGCCCCACTTACTTATCTCCTAGTTCCACCCACCACTGCCTACCTACCCCCACCACAACCACTGGTCTATCTTACTTATCATTCACATCGTATTTTTATATGAATACAATACTTCAGATTTTATAAATTAAAAATAATTGAATTTTAACATGTTTTCTTGTTCTCCAATGGAAAATGAAAACTAGGAAAATTTTAGAACAATAAAGATAGAGAATTGAAAGCATTTTTCTTGTAACTAAATAGGTCATGGTTTTCCACATTATGTACTCAATATAAATGCATTAACAAAAGGCTTATTGGCAGAAAACAAAAAAAAATCTAAACTTTTGTGCATTGTGATAATTATATCCAAACCTTTAAAACTTGGTGAAAAAACCTCAAACCTTTGTGTTTTGTGACAATTATACTCATTTATATTATCTAACCCTAAAAATAATTCAATTCTCTGAATTTAAGTATTAATTGGTAGGTATAATATTTAAACATGCTTTTATATATGTAAAATGTTTTTTTAATAGTTAAATTTGAACTTTAGTTGTATAAAGTACGGAGTATATATTTTTGATACAATATAGTTTTTAAAAAACAATGTTATGTTGTAATTTTTTAAATGATTTGTGTGTAAACTCAAGAAATCCGTGTTAGATTGGATTTTTTTTTCTTGGATTGGAAATTATAATTGTTACAAAATACAAATGTTTGATATTAATTTGTGAAATTTTAAAGGTTTTAATATAATTGATGTGCATAATTGGGTATAATTGTCACAAAACACAAAGGTTTGGGTTTTTTTCACCATGTTTTAAAAGTTTGGATATAATTGTCACAAAGTGAAAAGGTTTGGGCTTTTTCTGCCAATAAGCCTTAACAAAACCATACCCATGCTGGTCAATCCTTCTCTCAAGGGTTTTACCAATTGCCTCAATTGCTCTCTGCTTTGCATGACCATATGTAATGCTACTCAAGCCATAATATTCCATCAGCTTATTCTCGTCGAATTTATTCCAAATCCCATCTTCTTGAACCTAAGCATAATATAAATTCATAAAGAATTTGTACTTAACTAGTTAACTGCACCATGTTCACAGGCAAAATCATATATAAACATGAGTGCACATTGGAAACAAGAATCATTGAGATAACGCAGAAGAGCAGAAGAGATTAGAAGTTACAAACCCAAATAACACCAGTGCCACTGCAGAAGTGTTGAGCATATTCCTCACACACGTGAGCTTCTACATATTTGTACTGCAGTGCATTATGTGCTTATTGCGTTAGAACTCACACCTAAAGCTTAAATATTAAAATATAGTTTTTTTTTTTTTTTTTTCAAATTCTATACATAAGTAACATAACAAAATAAATTAGCAAGACATACAAGTTCCTTGGCTGCTTCATTAACTTTTGAATCTTCTATGCATAAGTCTCCATGCTTCCGGTAGCCAAGGGCACACTCCAATTTGCCTTCAGAGCATACTCCATTACTTGGGCAAGGCTCACAGGAGTCTAAAGCATGAGAAGGGCTTAAGAGGTAATCTCAGACAAAACAAAAATTCAAAAGTGAAAAATTCCTAAGCTTTTACAGGAATTCACCAGAGTTATAACACAAAAGGTAATAGGACAGTAGGGATCTAGAGTGTTCAATCACTTGACCATGCTCAAATCAATCTCATTTATTTAATAGATTTGAAGAAACAAAGCTGAGCTTTTGATTACCCAGCACGGTTCATATTATGTCTGTGACCAGAGAGTTATACACACACATGCATGCATGTAATCATATATTCCTATATGATATATGGTACACATAAACACGCACAGGTACATAAAATACATATCTCAAAAAAACTTCTATTTATTATATAATCACACCCTTCCCAACTCTGAAATTGCAATCCCTTGTTTGAGTTCTTTCCTACTTTTCCCCCATCATCTAAGCCTCAGAACACCTTCAACAGTGCCTCACTCTTCCTCATGTTGGTTCCTCTCAACACTCCCTTTCCCCTCTCTTATCTCAAATGACCAGGTGGTCAGTTATCAGATTTGAAGGTTTTATCTTTCATGTATCTCTCTGAGTAGTCTCTCTGTTCTCCTCAACTCTTTGCACCTTTGTTGTGCACAACTGAATCAGAAGAGGTAACAGCACATATGATCTTCTCCTCTTCCAAGACCAGAGAATAATGTTCAATTTGTATTTCTTATTCTTGTTTTGATACTATTATTTAAGTCGCTCAACCTGTATACTATGCTGAGTTGAGCTTTTTAGTATCCCAAAATCTTATTTGACTCAGCTCATTTACACAATAAAATCAACAATAGCTAAGTGGTCCTTTTCATCAAGAATGAAGAATACTCCTCACTCTAAAGTACACAGCAAAGAACTACCAATCCATTCTTCAGAAGATAGAAGATCACATTTATACCATTTTTCAAATATCTTTTAGACACCCAGCATTTTCCACTTAATTACCTAAACCGATGGACGGCTAAAGGACAAACTTTGAGTAAAGAAAAGTATTAACTAGATTAAATGAAATGGTATAAGGGCTAACCAGATAAGGAGTCATCAAATTCTGAATTGCTATTACAAAAGGGCTTTGGCTGTTGATTGATAACGGCAAAGATGTAATTACAGGTGAATGCGATGGAGGCGGCAATGGAGATTACAGCGACGAGCCTCAGGAATTCAGCCCTAGAGGTAGGGAAGAATCCTGGGGATGGTTCGAGAGACGAGGAATGAGACTTAGGCGCTGTAGAAGTAGAAGGAGAATACGCCGGTGGATACGGCGAAGTTCGAGTTTTTGAGGGTTTGAGATTGACGGTGGGAGTGACCGGAGTTGACGATTTGCGTGTTCGAGGGGTGGAAGCCATTGGAGATCATTGAGAAGTTCGAATCAATTTAAATGTCGAAATTCGACAGTTTTGAGAGCGCGTGTAAGAAAAGTAGGTTGCAGCTATTTTGTGCATAAATTTTGGATAGTTATGTTGTCCATCCGTATTCACCATGCATGGTGCATACGGATGCCAAAACGACGTCGTTTTATTAAAAAACGTGTGTCTTCCTTTTCAAAAAAATTCAGGTTCGATTCCCAGCAACAACATTATATTATTCATTCATTCTGAAATTTTAGTTCATAGATTATGGAATTATAGTTCATTTATTATGGAATTATAGTTCATCGATTATGGAATTGTAGTTCATCGATTCTGAAATTTTAGTTTATAGATTATGGAATTTTAGTTCATTCATTTTGGAATTTTTAGTTCATAGATTAGATTATGGAATTATAGTTCATCGATTATAGAATTATAGTTCATCGATTATGGAATTATAATTCATCGATTATGGAATTTTAGTTCATATGTTGTTGCTGGGAATCGAACCTGATTTTTTTTTTTTAAAAGGGAAGACGCGCGTTTTATTAAAACGACGTCGTTTTTGCATCCGTATGCACCATGGTGCATACGGATGCACAGCATAATTTGCCATAAATTTTTGAGTTTTTTTTTTTTTTTTTTTTTTTTTTTTTTTTTTTTTTTTTTTTGCATTTTTGTTCCCACGGGCCACGACTATGGTGGCACTATATCCGCGATTTTCAAACCTTACAATTTTAATCTACGACTATTGTTTTTATTGTAAAAATGATCATTCTGGTCAATTTTCCGTCAAAATCTCACCGGAGAAAAAAATTTATCATTTCAAGCAGTGATAAAATAGACAATTACATTGTTCTTGCAATCTCATACCGTTGTTGACCTCTTATTCAGACCAAAGTGCAAAAAAAAAATCAAACAAAAAAATAAAACCCAATTTCCAGAGACGAACACTAATATGCTCTCATCATCTCATCAACGATGTAGCCATTTTGTTTTCCTTCAAAATAAAGAAGATGAAGATCGGCAATGGATGGTGTGTTGAAGATGGCAATCGATGTTTTCCTCTTGTTCGCAGATGGGTTGATGAGATGAGAGCAGATTAGGATTCATCTCTAGCAATTGGGTTTTTTTTGTTTGATTTTTTTCGCACTTTGGTCAGAATAAGATGTAAGCAATGGTCCGAGATTGCAAAGTCAATATAAATGTCTATTTTATCCCTGCTTGAAATTGAGAATTTTTTCTCCGATGAGATTTTGACGGAAAATTGGCCAGAAGGACCATTTTTGCAACAAGAAGAATAGTTGTGAACTGAAATTCCAAGATTTAAATGTCGTGGATCAATCCTGATAGTGTCACTATAATCGTGGGACCAAAAGTGCAAAAACTCATAAATTTTAAATTGGCACAAGCATACCATTAACTATTTCGGATGGTTCATGTAACGCCTTGATCTTTTATAACATTTATTTTGATTTACTTATCATTTTTCACAGGTTTCTCAGTTACCCGAATGACATGACACCTGTTGTTAGCTAATGTGGAGGACTTCGCCCACTCCGTTGGCATGACACTTATCTTGATTGACCTTTGGATGAATTAAATTATCATTGAGTAATGTTAGGTGTATCTTTGACACTTATGTATCATTGAGTAATGTTGCAAACTACATTGGAATTGGAGATGAGGGGTATCGATCCCCGTACCTCATGCGAAGCGAGCGCTCTACCATATGTGCTACATCTCCAAAATAAAAAATATATTTTAAATATCTCTAGTCTAGAAAGCAAAAAGCATTTGAAAATTAAAATACTATACAATTTGACTAAACACTAGACATTTTTGAAACAAATTTGCACTAGTGTAAAGTTTGCAAATAACATAGACAATTAAAAATGCAGGGAAGTCCTCATAACTGTCACATGCTAAGCGAGCGCTCTACAATCTGAGATACATCCTCATAATGCTAAATGCTTCATTAAATATTTAAAATTTAGAAAACAAAAAGAATTTAAAAATAATAATATTATACGATTTGATTCGACATGAAATTTAAAATAGTATAGGAGTTTATTCAGAACCCAAAATTTTCATAACAAGTTTACACCGTGTAAAAGGTATCAATCCCTGTTCCTCTTGCATGCTAAGCAAGCTCTACCATCTGAGCTGCATCCCCATAATGTATCTATAATTTAGAAAACAAAAAGATTTTAAAAATAATAATATTATACGATTTGATTCGACACTAAGCTTTGAACATTAAAATAGTATAGGATTTTATTCACAACTCGACATTTTCGTAACAAACTTACACCGTATAAAGTTTGCAGACTAAATTAGAATTGGAGATGCGAAGTATCTATCACCATACCTCTTGCATGCAAAGCGAGCGCTCTACCATATGAGCTACATCCCCATAATGTAAAATAGTTCATTAAATATCTATAATTTAGAAAACAAAAAGCATTTGAAAATTAAAGTATTATACAATTTGATTTGATTAAACACTCGTTTTTAACAAATTTGCACTCGTGTAAAGCTGGCAAATTACATAGGCAACTAGAGATGCGGGTTATCAATCCCATCTTAGCATTTAAAATATTATATCAAAATTGGAAACAAGGTATCAACCCCTGTATACATTTTTGTAACAAGTTTTCACTCATGTAAAGCTTGCAAATTACATAAGCAATTGGAGATGCGAAGTATTAATCCCCATACCTCTTGCATGCTAAGCAAGCGTTCTACCATCTAAGCTACATGCGTATAATACTAAATGTATCATTAAATATCTACAATTTAGAAAACAAAAAGCATTAAAAATTTTACAATTTGATTTAACACTCGACATTTTCGAACGTGTAATGCTTGCAGGTTACATCAGAATTGGAGATGTAGGGTATCGATCCCCGTATACAATTTGAATCAACTCTCTACATTTTTGTAACAAATTTACACTCATGTAAAGCTTGCAAAATACATAGCAAGCAGGCAATTCGAAATGCAGGGTATTGATCTCCATAACTCTCGCATGATAAGCAAGCACTCTACCATCTACCCTATATCCCCATAATGCTAATTACTTCATTAAATATCTGAAATTTAGAAAACAAAAAGAATTTAAAAATAATAATATTATACGATTTGATTGGACACTAAACTTTGAAAATTAAAATAGCATAGGATTTTATTCAAAACTAGACATTTTCGTAACAAATTTGCACCGTGTAAAGTCTATAGACTACAAAGAATTGGAGATGCGGGGCCGTACCTATTGAATGCGAAGCGAGCGCTCTACCATATGAGCTTAATCCGCATAATGAAAAATGCTTCATTAAATATCTATAATTTAGAAAACAAAAAGCATTTAAAATTAATATATTATACAATTTGACATTTTTAACAAATTTGCCCTCGTGTAAATCTTGCAAATTTCATAGGCAATTTGAAATGCAAGGTATCAATCCCCGTACCTCTCGCATGCTAAGCAAACACTATACCATCTGAGCTACATCCACATAATACTAAATGCTTCATTAAATATCTATAATTTAGAAAACAAAATGCATTTGAAATTTAAAAAATTATACGATTTGATTTAGCACTCGACGTTTTCGAACCGTGTAAAGCTTGCAGGTTACATTGGAATTGGAGATGAAGGCTATCGATCCCCGTATACAATTTGAGTCAACACTCGAGATTTTGGTAAAAAAATTGCACTCATGTAAATCTTGCAAAATACATAAGTAATGGCAGATACAAAGTATCGATCTCTGTACTTCTCACATGCTAAGCAAACACTTTATCATCTAAGTTACATCCCCATAATCCTAAATGCTTCATTAAAAATATCTTAAATTTAGAAAACAAAAAGAATTTTAAAATATTAATATTATACGATTTGATTCGACACTAAACTTTGAAAATTAAAATAGTATAGGATTTTATTCAGAACTCGACATTTTCGTAACAAATTTGCACCGTGTAAAGTCTGCAGACTACATAGGAATTGGTGATGCGAGGCCGTACCTATCGAATGCGAAGCGAGCGCTCAACCATATGAGCTACATCCCCATAATGAAAAACGATTCATTAAATCTCTATAATTTAAAAAACCAAAATATTATACAATTTGATTAAATACTCAACATTTTAAACAAATTTGCACTCCTGTAAAGCTAGCAAATTACATAGGCAATTTGAAATGCAAGGTATCAATCCCCGTACCTCTCGCATGTTAAGTGAACGCTCTACCATCTGAGCTACATCCTCATAATACTAAATGCTTCATTAAATATCTATAATTTGGCAAACAAAAAACATTTAAAAAATTATACGATTTGTTTAAACACTCAACATTTTCAAACTGTGTAAAGCTTGCAGGTTACATTAAAATTGGAGATGTAGAGTATCGATCCCCATACCTCTCGTATGCTAAGCGAGCACTCTACCATCAAAGCTACATCCCCATAATACTAAATATTTCATTAAATATCTATAATTTAGAAAACAAAAAGCATTTAGAATTTAAAAAATTATATGATTTGATTTAACACTCGACATTTTCGAACCGTGTAAAGGTTACATCGGAATTGGAGATGTAGGGTATCAATCCCCGTATACAATTTGTTTCAATTCTCGACATTTTTTTTAACAAATTTGTACTCATGTAAAGCTTGCAAATTACATAGGTAATTGGACATGCGGGGTAATGATCCACGTACCTCTCGCATGCTAAGCGTGCACTCTACAATCTGACCTACATCCTCACAATGCTAAATGCTTCATTAAATATTTATAATTTAGAAAACAAAAAGAATTTTAAAATAATAATATTATACGATTTGATGCGACACTAAACTTTGAAAGTTAAAATAGTATAGGATTTTATTCAGAACCCAACATTTTCATAACAAGTTTGCACCGTGTAAAGGGTATCAATCACCGTTCCTCTCGCATGCTAAGTGAGCGCTCTACTATCTAAGCTACATCCCCATAATGCTAAATGCTTCATTAATGATCTATAATTTAGAAAATAAAAAGTATTTAAAAA